TTAATGTTTTTAAACTATTTATCTATTATTCAACTGGATATGTGCTGGGTATCAGGCAGTCGATCAGTCGTGACGCCTATTTGAATTAAATAACTTTCTTCTGCTTTAGCTGCAATTTTTGGTTTCAGCTTCAGCGCCAGCGACTTCAGCAGCCCCAGCCCCGACCGAATTTTGGCGCTCTTACGCACGGGCGTGTCGACCGCCCACTTTTTCGTGTTCCATTACGTTGACCCTGCTGCACTGTGGGGGAGCTCGCGTACTGTGCAAAACCTAATTAAAAGTGCTTTATTATGCAATTAATGTCAAGATAATATCGCATTCGCATTGTGCTGCACTGCACCAGCCACAAAGGAGCAAGTGTCAAAGTGGAAGATAAAGAGAGAGAGACAGAGAGAGGAGAGCATAAAATAAGAGCAGACGCATACATGATCCCTTCACACGGAAGAAAATTTAGCATGCATACCGCAGAACAACAGTTCCCAACAAATTAAAAAAAAAAATAAATATTTTTATTTAATTAGTTTTCGTGCCTACGTCTTTCGTTTAATATCGTGTCGAAATGCGCTCATCTCTATGCAAACTACAGTGCTGGGCGAAAGTTTGGGCTCAACTTACTTTTGCAGCCTCTCTCTCTCTTTTATCGCTCTCTCCTACATACGCTCTACTAGATTGTTGACAATTATTTTGCATAAATTTCGTGTGAAACACTAGAATGTAGTAAAAATTGACATTTTATATGTAAAGATGTATGTATATATGTATGCATGTACACATACATACATCTGTACTCGGCCATTGCCCTGTCCGTTCGCCCGTTCATCCGTTCGTCATCAACAAAATTGTGTTGAGGCTGGGAGGGTGTGCAACTAGCTTTTGGGTCTTGGGTCTAGCTCTTTTTGCTTTTGCTCTGATTTATGTGCCTTTTTAGTTTTGGCACAAATATGCGATCATCTTTGCTGTTGTTGTTGCTACATATTTGCGTCTTCGTCTAGCGCTGCACTGAGAGAGACAAACGAGAAGGAAATAGACAGAGCACGTGTAGGCTTAGCTGTCGCTACTTGTTCCTCTGCAGTTATTCAGGCGCACAACACACAAACACACACACGCCTTGCCTATGTGTTACTGTTCGCACTTCCTCTTCTCTATAGCTACTCACCCACACATAGAACACTGTGTTGTTGTTGGCATTTCTGTTGATACGATAAAACGCAAAGCATGCTAATTTATTGCTGTTGATTTTAATAACTATGCTAAACTTTATTGAGTGGCTATGTCTCGGGGAGTGTGTGCAGTTGAACTGTTACTTGGCATTTGCTGCATTTTATTTTGCTTTGTGGCTTGGCAGCATAGCAATTTTTATTTCATCTGTGTTCTGCTAGGCGTTGCCACACTGCTACTTGCATCTCAAGATGTTAATTGCAATCACACTAAAAACGATAACGCTTAAAGTCAAGTTTAAATTTATTTTATACTTTTTATTTACTGTATAATTTTACTTTTATTGTTTTTTGTTTGCTTACTACAATAGATGTGAGTGTAATAATACAGTCTGCCGAATGCTCAAGTTGGGCTCTTTTAAGTGTGTATGTGTGTGAAGGTTGAAGAGTAGCAAAACCAAGTGAATGTACATATATGTAAATATTTCAGAAAACTCATTCTGTCTCTGTCACTTTCTATCATAAGGCACACGCTGCTGAAGTTGGCATTTTGAATGGCATATTCATAATTACAATCGTAATTAGGCTGCATTCAATGGATTCATTAGGGCTATTCCCACATTTCGGTTTGCAAACCAGCAGTTGAAATGCGTTCGCAACTTCCCCTTTTCTTTTCCTTTCCCTTTCTATTTACACTCCCAATGCCCAATGTGCAATAATAATGCGAATAATTTCTACGAAATTCTTACCCAGTTAAAACTCTGGGTCCTCTCTCCGCAATTGCAAACAGATTTCAATGTAAATGCAGATGAATTTCAAAATAATTTTCCCTGTGCATCGAAATTTTACCATAAATCTATATGCGTTCAAGCTGAGCTGTGCAGTTCAATTGAGCTGCTCACTCAAATGATCAAATTGCTTAGTGCTGAGTAAAACATATGAAGTTGATGAATATCGTTTATATGCTGGGAACTATGTTGTTCCATTGAATGAAACGCTGTATTGAGAGCAAATGAGAGTTAACTAAAATGAAATGTAATGAACGTTGGAGTTGGTTCGTGAAATTGAACCAGAGCTGCCAGCTCTAATTGTGTTAAAGAAGTTAGCCTAAAGAGAGAAATAAAGAGGGGGAGGTGCTGGGCGTTGCCAGAAATTCAATTTCAAATTGCATTGAAATAATTTACAATTTTCCCCCCATTCGTTCCATTCGCCATTCGCCATTTCCCATTATTGTGTTTTGTGTTATTATGTCGGCTCGCTTTATTTGCGCAATTTGAATTTTGCGCAATTTATTTACTTTGACTCTTCAACTTTTCGGACGGCCACTCGAATTATACAAATTTGTTTCAATTGCTTTCGCATTATGTCCCTATTGTTATTTTTGTTGTTGCCTCTATATCCACGACAAAACAAAAATAAAACTAAGCAGAACGAAATTTGTATTGGGAATTCTATTTTATTGAACACAGTTGATTGCAATTACGCACACACACACATACGGACATACATTCATATGTACATGCGATCATGTAAATACACTAAGTATTTAGTATAAAAAACGATTCTTGCTTAATCATCATCATCGGGTGGGTCAAGTTTGATCGAAGCTTCTGTTCATTGCAATTGATCAAGACCATCACATGAGTGGCCCTGTGTGCGTGGGGATCTCCATTTACACTGCTGCTGTGCTAAGCCGCGCCCATAAAGGTATGCTATAGAAAAGTTACATCATTTTTGTTTTGAAATCATTTGCTAGCTGCATATAGGAATGCAATTGCGTAGACCTATGCTTTAAAAGTATCGTGGGCATCAGCTCTGTATGGGTTTGGCAAATATTCCAATTGCACTCCACTTGAGTCATCCTGGGCTCAGAAGTAACAAGCCGAATGTCATATACATGAGTCGCCTTGTAAATGTGTATAAAAGTTATTCAATTTCCCAACGCATTTATATTTACACATATTTATATTTAACTGCATTTGAGCCATGTGGTTGTGCTAAGGATCTTCCAAACTGTGCTAGATATATATAACCGTTTATTTATGTTACAATGATAGTATATAAAATATAAT